TTCACTCTAAACTATAAATATAAACCTTAAATTTTAAAATAATAAAAGTTGGGAAAGTTAGTAGATTTAATGTTCAAAAGATATACTTTATAATTTTTATAAAACTATAGTTCTATAGTTTAGGGTTTGAGGTTAACATTTAAAAAGAGATTGAAGTTTTAATTTGTTCAAAGTTAAAGGAACGATTTTATTCCCGCCCATAATATGAAACACCACGAAACAAATTACACTTGACGACAACTAGGTCTTATGGATCTGGAAATTATTGTTTCCAATGACAGGTCTAAAAAACATAGATTTTTAAAAATAATTGAGAATCTAAGACTACTGCAGGTCGTCGTCTTCGATGATGGTCGGTTATAAAAGGAGATTCCACTCCTCCAGTGTCCTGTATGGTGGTCTGAGATCATGTTGTTCCCGCCTAAAATATGAAACATCGCGAAAAAATATAACACTTAACGACTGATTTATAGGAACGTTACGATTAAGTTTATAATTTATAACTTTATAGTTATGTAGCTTAGGGACGAGGTTCAAATTTAAGAAAAGATTGAATGTTTAATATTGTTTTCAAAAGATAAAATTTATATTATTTATAACTTTATATTTCTATAGTTTATGGTTTGATGTTCAAATTTAAGAAAATATTAAAGTTTTAATATTGTGTTAAGAGTTGAAAGAGTGATTTTGTTCCCGCCCAAAATATTTTTTTCCCGCCCAAAATACGAAATGTCACGAAAATATTACACTTGACGGCTGACTTATAGGAACGTTACGGCTGACTTATACCATTCAGATACATTATGATTGAGTTTATAATTTTATAACTTTATAATCCTGTAGTTTAGGGTCGAGGTTCAAATTTAAGAAAAGATTAAATTTTTAATATTGTGTTCGAAAGATAAATTTATATTTTTTTATAACTTTATATTTTTATAGTTTAGGGTTTGAGGTTAAAATTTAGGAAAATATTAAAGTTATAATATTGTGTTAAGAGTTGAAAAAATGATTTTGTTCCTGCCCAAAATATTTTTTTCCGCCAATAATACGAAACGCCGCGAAACAAAATTACACTTGACGGCTAACTTATAGGAACATTACGGCTGATTTATACCATCCAGATACGCTACGATTGAGTTTATAATTTTTATAACTTTATAGTTCTGTAGCTTAAGGTCGAGGTTCAAATTTAAGAAAAGATTAAATTTTTATTATTGTGTTCAAAAGATAAATTTTGTATTTTTTATAACTTTTTATTTCTATTGTTTAGGGTTTGAAGTTCAAATTTAAGAAAATATTAAAGTTTTAGTATTGTGTTAAGATTTGAAAGAATGATTTTGTTCCCGCCCAAAATATTTTTTCCCTCCAAAAATACGAAACTTCGCAAAAAAAAATATTAAACTTGACGGCTAACTTATAACATTCAGACACACTACGATTGAGTTTATAATTTTTATAACTTTATAATTCTGTAGCTTAGGGTCGAGGTTCAAATTTAAGAAAATATTAAATTTTTAATGTTCTGTTCAAAAGATAAACTTTATATTTTTATAACTTTATATTTCTATAGTTTAGGGTTTGAGGTTCAAATTTAAGAAAACATTAAATTTTAATATTGTGTTAAGAGTTGAAAGAATGATTTTGTTCCCGCCCAAAATATTTTTTCCCCATCCATAACACGAAACGTCACGAAAGAAAATTACACTTGACGGCTAACTTATAAGAACGTTACGGCTGACTATACCATTCAGATACGTTATGATTGAGTTTATAATTTTTATAACTTTATAATTCTGTAGCTTAGGGTCGAGGTTCAAATTTAAGAAAAGATTAAATTTTTAATATCGTGTTCAAAAGATAAACTTTATATTTTTTTATAACTTTATATTTCTATTGTTTAGGGTTTGAGGTTCAAATTTAAGAAAATATTAAAGTTTTAATATTGTGTTAAGAGTTGAAAGAATGATTTTGTTCCCGCGCAAAATATTTTTTTTCCCATCTAAAATACGAAACATCGAGAAAAAAAATTTACACTGGAGGGCTGATTTATACCTTTCAGATACGTTACGATTGAATTATGCATACTTTAAGCTGAGTTATACATACATTACAGCTCAGTTTAATTCTAAACCAACCCTAATCTAAACCTAGAAACAAAAAAGCTTGCAGCCGTGTCAACAAAATCTAATCCTAACTAAACCACCGTTTGTTTCTTCCACATCACGAGAGCCGTGAAGTCATTATTGTCTTCTTCCTTCGCCACCGCAGCCCCGTTACCGTGAGAGCACCGACTTCTTCAAGTCACACAACGGTTTTGTTACCTCCTCCACCAACAAGCTCCTCTGCCTTGTCCACCTTCCAGTAACAAGAAAAAATTCAAAATCACAGAGAAAGATCAAGAGAGATTGAAAGAGAGAGAGGTGACCAGTGTGGTGATAAGCGGTGGTGGTGGACACTACGGTGAAGAAAGAGACCGGCGAAGATAAATCTGAGAAACGGCAGTCGGTGAGTATAGATGGCGACGGCGACGAGCTCAAGAGATCAATATCCGTGACGACGGTGAAGACCTTCCTCGACACTTTTTCTTCTTCTCCGACAATCTTCTTTTCTTCTTCTCTCACTTCTAAGATTTACAAACCAAATATACTAAGGCATAAGAAAGAGTGATGATGTGTGAATCTCTCTTGTTGACAAGACAGAAAGTGAGAGAGATGAAGAGGATCTGAGACTGTGAAGAACGAAGAGGAGAAGAAGACGTCAAGTAGAAGAGAAAAAGTGAAGAAAAAAAAAATGCATTTTAGACCATTAGATCAAAACTAATCAATGGTCAAGAAATTGTAATCCTTGTACTAAAAATCAGACCAATGAGAAAGAAGTTAGAAAATAACCACAAGTTGACTTTGTAGCCCTTAGATTAAAAAAAAATCAATGGTTAATGCTTTAATGATGGTTAAAATTACATTGTATATTAAGCTGTATTTTGATAAATTTTTAATTTTAAAAAACTTGGATTTTATGATTATATGTTGATTTTTTGTTGTGTGGTTTAAATATGAAATTTCAAAATTTAGGGTATATAATTGAGTGAGTTTAGGGTTTCGTATATAGTGTTTTGGATTTTGGGTTTTGATTTAAGGTTTAAGATTATATTTTTAAATAAAAAATATTAGATTTTTAACATTTGTAATTAGAATTTATGGTATATGATTTATTGAATTTTGTTTAAAGTTTGAAGTTTAATGTTTTATGGTATAGGTCAAAATATGATGTTTGGGGTTTCGGGTTAAAGGTTCGAAACATATATGGTTTGAGATACTGTTTTGAAAATATTTAAATTTATAATTATAATTAATATTTGTAGTTTAAATTTTAAAATATTATAAAATATTATAAATTTTATTGAAAATATTGAACCCTTAGACTAAAATCAATCAAGGATCATGAAAAAAAAAATATAAATTGTAATTTTAGTTCTTTTCAATTTGTTTTAAAAATTGCCTAAATTTAAAGAATGTAGTTACAGGTTTAAATCAAAATTTAAAATGAAAATTTAAATTAAAGATTATTTTTTTTAAAAAAATAAAAAAATTTGAGTTTAACTCTAAACTATTAACCTAAACTTAAAATAATAAAAATATCGGATTTAATGTCTAAAGATAAACTTTATAATTTATATAACTTTATAGTTCTATAGTTTATTATTTGAGGTTTAGATTTAAGAAAAAAATAAAGTTAGAGTCTTGTAAGTAAGAATTGTATAAGTGATTGTAAGAGAACATATATCGCAAGTTCAAGTTAAAGTCTCAATTTGAAATTCAAAAAAGTATACACATTCAGTTGATTTATATTCACTTGATATTGATAAGATGATATTCAATATAACTTCTTAAAATACTGAATTCAGTTTTCCGAGTTTAGGGTATGTTTGAGGTATGGTTGATTTATATAAACAATACGGCTGAGTTGTCTACACATTATCTGGCTTTAGGGTATGTTTGTGGTATGGCTGAGTTACGTAAATGACACGGCTAAGATATATAAACAACACAACTAAGTAGTGTAAATATAGAATAAGTCAAACACAAAATACATGGGTGAGTTATGTTTTTTACATATAAAAACATAAATACAGGTTTTCTGCACCATTCCGGTGATAACTCGTCCATGTATTTAAGCTTCATTGAACTCTTTTGTGACCGTCTGCTGAATCCGTCACTTCTTTTCGTCTCATCCATTCTCTTCTTGTTCAATCTTCTCTTTCACTCAGATCTGAAAAAAAAAATAGATTATCCAAATATGGATATCAAATCACAAACAAATTTAAATAAATAAATGTCACAAATGCCAATTCGAGTGTTTTTTTGGAATATATTTGCCTTTTCTCCTCGGAATTTCCATTTCTTATAGCTAGGTTTTCGGAGACTGGCAGGAAGTAACTCAACCACAACTGCATATATAAACCAATCGTAAAAGAAAAGTAACTCAGCCACAAACTCAAAAAAACGCAGCAGAGAAGATGATTTCGGGAGATTGCAGCGAAAAATATTTCGTAGAAACGCTTGAGAAGAAGACGATTTCGGCGAAAACGTTATCAAAGAAGACCATTCGAGAATTTCAGACGATAAATTACAATATCAACTCAAAAAATTAGGGTTTAAGCAATGAATGAAAAAAATTGTAATTTTTTTTTCAACCCAGAAAATTTAGTTAGAAAGACGTTTTGTTATTTTTTTTATCAGAATTATTATAGTTATTAATAATGTGGATATTAATTAATTACATGGATTTGCTATTTAAAAATAATTTCAATTAAAAAAATTAACCAAAAACCTTAATTGTAATTTACTATGCATTTACAAACACTCTAATAAATTTAAAAGATATATGTTATTCTAATAATATACTAATTTTTCTATAACCATTCTAGTAATTCTCTTAAAAAAAAAGATATATAGCATCTATTTCATTGGTATTCCTCTTTCTCCAACCTTACGCCATAGCGCAGAACGATCAATCAGACGGTTCCATCGTTCCTTTTCGCCCAAAATTAGCGAGTGGGTTCGCCGAGACTTTTTCTATGTTTCATCGTTCCTTTTCGCCCAACTATTTCGATTCATTTGTTCGTTTATTTTGTGATCGTTATCCCATTTTTCTTGGAGTTTTGTAGTGTACCCGAGAGTTAAAGCTAAAGACCAAACTGGTAATTGCAAGCAAAGTGGTTATTGTCTAAACTCGAGCTATCTTCAATCTCGTGCCTCTGGTAATTCTCCTTTAAGTTTGACTTTCTATAAGTTTTATAGCTAGATGACTAGGTTGACTACTGCATGTTTAGGAATTTTGACTTGGTTAATTCTGTTCGATAGATTTATTGATTCGATTTTTTATCACTAGAAATTGACGACAAAAAAAAAATCACTAGAAATTGCCAACCCAATATATTCTTTTTTTTTTCATCTGGACAGAAAATAAGCAAGAAGAAGATTTGCATCTAATTGTGGCAAAAATTCCTAAGATATACATACCAAGTGTCCTCATGTCCGAAAGTGAATCCAAGGAATTGAAAAAGCATATCAGAGGAGCTGAAATCAAACTGATACAGAACCCCAAAATCAGTCCGGTTTTACGCCCTCGCGCTGTTGTATCAAGTCCTGGTATGTAATATAGAGATTTTTTTATTACGAGATCTCGGTATCATGGTAAATTCGCAAACAAATCTAAATAAATGCTAGCCTTCCATAGATTATTACAAGGTCTAATAATTGTTAGAGTATTTTCACAGGGATTTAGCTTTTACTATACACAATGTGGGACTCAAATATACGGAAAACAATTAATGTTGCTTTTGAATTTTCTTCTTTAGATAATGATGCAATGATCGGAAGCATAAACAAAAAACAAGAGAGGAAAGCTCAGAAGGGTTTAAAGAGTAATGGTCATGTCTCAAACAGAGTTTCCCAGCGTAAGAATATTGATACCAATGTGAAGATTTCGCATCGCACAGTCGCTACAAAATCGGGAGCTAGTTCGAGGGATCACAAATGATTAACTTGTTTGTTGATGATCTAAAAGATTCCTTTACGGCTCTGTAATAGCGGGCCTCATGAGATAAACCATATATATTGGGAAAAATGAAACGGTATATCACTTATTCACGCTAGTTTTGACATTCATCATTTCACGACATTTTCATTTCACATTTTTGAAAATTTATTCTACAAGGTATAATGAAAATACATTGCCTGTTATTGGGTTTATCGTTTCATCCTCTAATTCAGATTCTCTGTCTGTAGACTATTTACATTTGGTATAACACTTTTAGATGCAGTGCCGGCCCTTGGGGTAAGCTAAGGAAGCACATGCTTTCAGCTAATTGTTTTAGATAAATGTTTTGGCCAAGTTTTGATAATTTCCTTTAGTCAAGTGGCAGAGCTCCATTTAATAAATTTAGCTATAGGCCAGTGAAGTTCAGGTACATATTTATATCATTTCATCATTATACTTTGTCCGTTTTTTTTTCAAAAAACTGGCCTATTTTTTTTGGCCTTTGACATTCTCAAGATCGGCCAACTTTTGTAACTTTTAACTAATAAGAGCTGATCTTGAGAATGTCAAGGGCCAAAAAATTTGGGCAGTTTTTGGAAAAAACGGGACAAAGTATAATGATGAAATGATATAAATATGTACATTTTTGAATTGGCCACCTAACTCTCGTCTTAGATTTTTTTTTTTGGGGGGGGAGGGGGTGTTAACTAGATTCTAGTTAAAAGTTACATTTTAACTAGCAAAACATTCTTCAACATATATCGTTGGTACTGGTATCAACATTACCGGTCCAAACATTGTCAATTTTGCTTATGGCCCTAAGCTATTATAGCAAAGATATGAAAAATAAAAATTTGTAATGAAATTTTTTAAAATATAATCCATGTGTTTTAATCAATCGCTTATGTGGTTTATACTCGTCTTGAATTCTTACTCGACCAGAGCTTTAATTTTCTTAACTTATTGAACGCATCACCCTTATCCTTTAATAGGACTGTCCACATGTATCTGGAATAGTCGTCTCACTCATGATTGGTGATATAGGGCCACACAAATCACCATGAATAAGTTCAAGTACTCTTGATGCTCTGTAGGAGATTGCTTGTGGGAATACTTGCCTCGTTTGTTTACCTAGTAAACATGAGCTGCATACATTCTTCTCGATGTTGATGTGTGGGATTCCAATGACTATGTCCCTTTGTATCATGGACTTCATAGTTTCTAGGTTTATATGTCCCAACCTTACATCCATCTACTCGCTTCGCTTGCTGCAGTCGATAGTAAGCACATGGTATCCTTTATTTTCATACGCACCTTGTATAGCCTGTTTTTGGATCTAGCGGCTTAGCAATTAATAAGCTTTCAATCTTGATCATTAATTGTAAGATACTCTCCTTTCATTCTTACGTGTCACACGCCGTCTGACCAAGACTGATAATGTTGCTTCTCAAATCTGGTATAAAATAGACGTCAGTTAACTTTCTTGGTTCACCATTTTTGTCTAAGAATTCAATCTATCCTTTCCTTTGATATCAATGCAAGAATCATCACTGAATCTCACCTTTCCAATAATAGAATCATCAATACTTGAGAAGTATCTTTTATCTCCACTCATATGATTACTCGCTCCGGTATCAAGGTACCAAATATTGTCATCGGTTTTGTCATTCTCGTATTTGCCCGGGACAACGTTATCTTCATCTAAGTACACAATCTCGTTTAGCATAAGCTTGTATACTTCTTGGGCATCGTTGTTGTTCTCATCCTCTTGAGTTTCTTGAAGCTTAAGCAGTCAGTCCGGGAAATCTGCAGCATAGTGACCTGATTCATCGCATCGGAAAATATTATCTTTGAAGTATCCTTAGCTCCATAGTTAAATCGTCTGAGACCTCGTCTTTTGTTGTAAAACAACTTCACAGACTCTGGTTCTATATTCATTGTTGTAGCCTCGATTTGACTGCGTTTCCATGTTTGCGTACATTAGTTTTCCTTGATCTTCTTGAACTTCTTCTTCTTTGCAAACATGCTCTTCATAGACTTTGAGTCGCCCTATTATTTCTTTAAAACTCATGGTATTGAGATCCAAAACTTGTTCAAGGGAGGCTACAATATGAATATATTTCTTTCTTGGAAGAAACTTTAGAAACTTTTTGACTAGTTTAGATTCTTCCATGTCTTCTCATAAGGCGGCTGATTTGGAAGCGATTTCAGACATCTTCCCGACAAAATCACATATCTTCGCGTTGTCTCTAATCTTGAGACGATCGACCTCTGCCATTAATGTCTATAGTCGAGCTTTCTTAACTCTGTCAGCTCCCACATGCCTGGTTTTAATTGTCTCCCACACCTTCTTAGCTGTATCTAGTTCTCTAACCCGTAGGATGAGCATCTCAGGTATAGATTGGAACAACAGTGCTATAGCCATGTCGTTCTTTCCGTATCCTCGGTTCCAGCTTCTATAATCTTCCAGACCTTGTGTACTCTATGTAGAATCTTTATCCTTTTAGCTCATACAGTGTAATTGGTTGCATAAACCAAAAGTCTATTTTATACAGAGGTCCAACTCTAATTAGTACGAGGTCTTTTGAGAAGGAAACCAAAAGTAAATCCATGCGAGTTTGTTTATTAGGTCCAAAGTGGATAATATCGTAATAATCGGATAATAAAAAGTTGGACATCGTATGAGCCGGCATTGGGTATCTGTCTCCATTTTCAGAAACTTGCTGCAAGTAGTTTAATTTGATGTTCAAGTTGCACCAAATAATAGGGTATCACACCATCTACATCTTCTGAAAAAATTTCTCTATTCTTGTGATTCAAATGAGGTATTTACACTCTTTTTGTTGATTTTTTTATCTAGTAACTCTCCAATCTCCAAGCTGGCCAGTGATCATTTTTTGTGTGTTGTATGTGCGCTCATGATTGATCCTGAAATTTCGAGGGCTATAGATAGTTTAATAAAAATATCATTAAGTTTGTTCTCAGTAATTTGGAGGCAATACAGTTTATCTGTAATATCTCTTAAAAATATGGATGGCCAAGACTAATGTTTCATTTGTCGTTACGAAAGACTTGTTTTGGTACTACTTTTGATGTAGCTCACAATATGCGGGAAGCAGGTAGTCACTTTGTCTTAACTGTAAGTAAGCCTCACAGAAAGGGAAAATAATGGATGATATAGAGGGGATTTGGTTTCATTCTTTTCCTTGATTAACTTCATAAAACAAGTTTTGCCATTGTTATGCGCTTTGAGTGTTCACCAACATGATATTAGGCCTCAAGTGTTTCAGAAGCAGTTCTGCGTTTGCATTTACATGACCAATAAACCCAATTGAGGAGATCAAACCACTATGCTTTCAGATCTAGCAAATTTGTATAGATCTAAATAGAAAAGCTTCATTAAATGTAAATGAGAGTGTGTCATCACTTTCATACATGATGTACTGAAATAGTAAACCAAAGAGAAAGAGAAACCCATCGAGGCTAATAAGATTAGACAAATATATGTATTCTGTTACATGTAACCATATAAGACAAACGTTATAAAACTGCGCATAACGGTTAAGTAGCAATAAAAGATTACACTAGTAAAACCAGACTTTGAAAAGCAAAGATCGAAAGGAAAAACAAAGCATGTTTTAAGCAGCTCTTGCAAGAACGTGAAGACTTTCGGGAACATCAGAAGGATCAATCAAGAAACTTCTTCTTCGCAAGACCCTCTTTGGCACAATCACAGTCAACACACCGTTTTCATAACTAGCTGATATTCCGATCATATCTATCGATTCCGGTAACCGGAATCTCATCCTTAAACTCCTAACCGGCGATCTCTCTGTAGTTTCCGTTCGTATGATTAAGTACATAGAATCCTCGATCTCCACTTTTATGTCTTCCTTCCTCAAATCTGATTAAGAAAAAGAAACACACAACACATGGGCAAAAAAGAAAAATATGCAAAGTTTGTAATGAATATATATACTGCAGGTGGTTATTACCAGGAAGATCAACAAAGAGAGTGTGCGAATCCGGAGACTGAGACCAGCGGATACGGTTCTCTTGAGGAGTTTTGTTGCCACTTAGAGATTGAGAAGATTGAACACATTCACATAGTGTCGGTTGAATTGTCTGAGAATCCATTTACTTTTCTTGTGGATTGGTTAGTTTTGAATTATGGTTCATATTTATACTAAATAGACGCCACCACTTGAACTAGTTGAGCAACTTGTTTTCTACCTTGAATAGTCGATCATAAAGGAAATAAAACAGAACTAATAAAAACAATGAAAATTTATTATCAGAAAGAGAAAAATCAATATTTTGTCGACTGAACTGAAGTGTGAATTTTTTTATATATTTTCTTGAAAAGGTACTTGCTAAAAATGTTTGTAATATGAAGTTTTGATGGGGCGCATTTTATTGGATTATACAAGTGTCAAAGTCATTGACAACTAACTAATTACACTGTATCTTGAAAATAACCATTTTATTTTCTTTCTAGTATTTTTTTAGTGGTCAAAACATCTCCAACCATTAACATTATTAATTAACATTATTTTAATGTCAGAACCACAATATTTTGATGTAATTTTAACACTAAAAAATCTTCTCCAACCATAAACATCAAATTTCACACAAACTATTTATAATACTATATGTATTTATTTTCTTGTTTGTTATTTGTTTCATCAGACTTTATTAATAAAATAAATAAATTATATTTTATTGGATGAATAGTATTTTAGTGGGTTGAATAATGTTACACTAAATTTTATGTGAAATTATAGTATTCAGTAAATAGTGTGTGATTTTAGTGTTGGGTTGAAATTTTTTTTGGGTAAAAATCACAATGAAACAGAATTTTAGAGTTGTGTTGCATGTGATTAGTATTACTTGTCAATAATAATAAAATAGTTATTTCGCATTGTTCCAGCCACTCATTTGGTTCGACCTCGCAAGTTGCAGATCTATAGACTAGATTTTAGAGTATATATTTATCAAATTCAAAATTTTCAAGACAGGAGGGGACAGAAGAAAGAAACTGCAGGACCCATCTCTAGTCTTAAAATCTTAATCTTACTCAAGTACCTCAAATTTAACTGATAATTTACACGCAATTTCTGTGGGGTTTAGAGGTTTGTCAAATGTTTTTCAAATGAGTAGAAAGATATGTATCAGTAGAGATATGCATCTTTTGAAAACGAGGGTTACACTTGTAATACATGGGTCTTAGCCACTAAACAATTTTTAGAGTTGTGATATTTTACTTTGTCATGTAAACTTTTTTTAAAAGGATCTCGTTCGAGGTCTAGAACATCATACCTACGATTTCTTCAAATTAATCGTGTTACGTTTACATGTACACTCATCAATATTACTTTTTTTTTTGTTCAACTCTCATCAATATTACTTATCTTATGCTACATCCAATGTTTTTTTTGTCTTGCTCTATTCAGATAAATTTGAATTCTAGAAGAAGGCAAAGTATAATTTAACGGTTGTAACGGTCATGACTTATAAAATAACCTACAAAAAGCTAAGAATCGAGTTTTTTAAAAATGGTTTGTATGACTAACTTTAAACTTAAAAGAAACAAGTGTTTTTAACCAGAAGAAGAAATAGTTTTACAACAAACTCTGTAGTCTGGTAATACAAAGTACAGAAACAAAAAGAGAGCAGAAATGTATTAAAAAGTTTGGAAAATAAAACAACCGAGTAAGGAGGTTTTAAACTACTGCACTAGTAGTCGACCTTTTCTTTTCCTTTAAACAGTTTCGCTATGAAGCCATTCCTAGACACAGAGGTTTTAGGATCTATCTCCATTGCGATGCCGTTTTTGGTGTTGTCTCCCCGCAATATTGTCTTGTTTCCAAGTGATAGCTGAAGCTCCTGTGGTACTTCCTCTACCGGGTGAACCAATTCCTCCGCCATAAGATCGAACCTCTCTTTCCGTGCCAAGACATGATTCTGTTGAGCAGTCCCTATGGTTGTCTCTGGAGTTTGAAAAAACTCTACCAAACTAGTAGCAGCTTCTCTTTCTTCCATTACCTCCTTGGCATCTTCTTCTGTTATTCCATGTGGCAACAGAATCAAAGCCCGTGCACATTCAAACAAGGTCGAGTCAGCGACAGCATCTTTCATTGTCTGATCATTAGGAGGACAAGATTGATCACGATGATTATCAGTCTGGTTCTTGTTCTCTTCTCTTACGATCATTTTGACATGAGGAGCCACATCGTTTTCAGGAGTAACCGGAACGACTTTTCCCGGCGCGAACACAAGACCTCTTAATCTCGTGTCACTGTCATTCACCTTGACATTAATGATGAAACCCGCTTCGAAAGATCCTTCGACCACACCAGAAACTGTCTTACCAACCAGATTAACGTCCTCTTTTGGAGTCCCTTGAGATCTTTCTTGTTGGGTCATGGTTGCATCTTTACGTGGACGGCCTCTCTTTCGCTTCGCCGGGAGAAGATTAGCAACAGGAGGAGGTGAGCTTGTGGAGGCTATGTTAAACGAATTCATTCTATAGGGAACAACACAAGAAAATGATATTAATACAAAGAAAATCTAAAGCATATATTACCAGAAATAAAAAAGTCTACAGAAAATTCTAGGGTTTCATAATTCAGTCTAATTGTAAATATCATTGATACGGAATTATGGAATACGTTCAATACCAAATCAAAACATAGTAGAAATCCTAAGGATAAAAAAAAAAAAATCTAAAGATAGAACATTATAGGGTTTCATACTGATTCAACCTGATTGTTACATATAATTTCGACGGAATTATAGAACACGTATAATACCAAATCGGAACATAGTAGAAACCCTAAGGATCAAGAGAACCATCGACTCTCTCTCAACTCGGACTAACAACTTATTACCTATGTATGATTAGACCAGTTAAAAAAAAAAATGATTAGACCAGTAAAATATAAACGAAGAATTTATTTCCAAATAAATACTGATAACCAATCAAAATAATTTTATTCAATGATAAATCTGAATCTAAAATTCAGAACGTGGATTCAGATTATGGAGACGGTAGAAATCAAAGGTTAACATTTTTTTCTCACAGGACAATATTGGATGTTGCATTAGAGGAGAAAAACGATTGAAGTGTTTTTTTGGTTACCTCTCGACCAAGCGACGTGAACCAAACGAAATGGTTGTTCGAAAGTTGGAGAATATATGTTTTCTCAAAACACGATAACAAATGCAAGCATTTGAGTGTGTTTTGATATTTTTCTTCCGCTACCTCCTCCTCCCCTTCACTTCTTCCTCTTCTTCTTCCCCTTTTAAGTTTTGCTCTCTTGCGGTTTCTGTGGCGTTTGGTTTCGTACCTTCTTCTTCCGATTTATAAGCGACTTAATGTGGGCTTCTATTGGGCTTTTTCTGTACTTCTGCATTTTGTTTTTGTTTTTATTTATTTTCAAACCAAAAATCTCACTTTAATTTGATCTGGTTCCTAATATCTTATTTATCCCAATACTCATCTTAACTATCAACAGATTGGAAAATTTTGAGCTCGGAAATAAAATAATGTGAAAAGTCTGGAGTGACTAGCAATATTTTTATGATTGTACTAAAGAAAACGCTATTTTATTAATTTCAAAATATTACAAGTTTATGATTTAGTTGGAAAATTGACTAAAAAGCAAGTTAATACGATTTTCCCCAACCAGTTTTGTTTCTCTTAGTTTGATTTTATATTTAAAATTAAAACATAATTTTTATAAACAGTAAAAGTTAGAGTCTGTAATTGTTGATAGAAAAATAAATATTAGAAGTTTATATTTTAGGCATAAAATTGACTAAATATAAACTAAATTTTCTAATTAATATAACACTATAAACCACACGTTGATAGTAACGAAGCGTTCCAGCGTTGATAAGCGAGCTGAGTCCAGGGTGGTCACCGGTGATTTAACATTCCTTTGCACGGAAGTAATTTACCATTTTTTAATATAACACTATATATCATTTCTTCATACTAAAAACGTATTTCTTTTACTTTGGAAATATCACAAATTTATCGTTTAATCAAAAAATAGTTATATATTAACTGAAATTTTACCTTTGTATCAACATAAATTTTAGCAAAAACATATATATATATATATATATATATATATTAAATAACTAATCATCTTTTATTATTTTATAACTGAACTAATCATTGTTTATTTAAAAGTTCGGATTGTCACACTATCTAAGCACCATTTTAGTTTAATAATTTTACCAGTCTTAATTTAGTACTTCAGCCGTCTCATTATCAATGTTATTCAGATTTTTTCACAGATTAAAAAATGAAAATACTAGATAACTTAACTAAAGTTATTTTATTTTCCAAGTGACACGGTGTACTGTATATCCCTTTCATTTCATTTTTCTATCTAATAAATTTTTCATTAATTTTACATCTAAAAATTGATATAAATTACGGTGTTACCTATTATATAAACAAAAAAAAATTCCTATTCTGTTAAAGTAATCGCAAACGATAATATCAAAATCCTACATTAGAAACCGACATCAGTTACGGGTCGTAACGGTTCGAACCCAACACGAAAACTACTTATGACAGAAGTGAAGATTCTTTACGACGCTTCACTAAAGGGCATCTGTAGTTTTACTAATGGGCATTATCAACGGTGTAAATCTGATTTGAGTTTAAACATCGAACGGTGGAAATTGGCTCTTTGACGTAATCATCAAAGACTTTTTTTTGGTCAACACATTATCATCAAAGACTAGTCAAATAATACTGACGTATACAACAAACGGAGCAAACACACAGCGAGTAAAGAATCTATTAACTGTTTCGTAATGCATATCTAATTTTTACAGACCTCTCGCTATCCGATTCCTGAATAAGAATACACAAAATTTCGTCTCTAAACAACAACAAAACCATTTTATACGCAAAAAAAAACACAAGTTTGACATGAGATTGTAAATGTATCAGGATCACAACCCAGAAAGCAGATGCATTTCAAGCTTTAGGCTACCTTCCACAAATGTATACCGAACCTGAACCAAAGCATAAACCGAAACTTACCTTTTCAATATCGGTTCAATGCCAAGAAAACATCATAAAATACATCAAACAGAGTGGGATATCTTATATACTACCTGATGCCTTTGTTTCGATCTTCGGAAATATGCAAAGAAAGAATATTTGTACACTTAACATTGTTTCCATATAAAGTAGTTAACTGTTTACGTAATTGTGCTATTTTCGTAACTAATTGAAAAGTCGGCAACTTGTAAATGAAAACTAAAATTTTGATTTTAATTTTTGTTTTTAAATAGAGTTTGGTTCACAATACTGAGCTTCGTAATAAATGTGAGAAACTATATGGCTGACATAAAAATAAATTTGATTTGTCAGATATAATAATTAAATGAAATTTCTAATTTTAATTTCCTTCGAACTTAGTTTATCACCTATTAGTTATACATAAGCTTGTATACTATATGTGCGTGATGGCGTTACATGTACAATGATCCTGATGGCGTTACCTCAACTTAATCCACACAAAAGACAACAAAATTAAGCTCCAACCAGGGCCGGCTCAACATTTGTTAGGGCCCCTGGGCAAAAATATTTTTTTTTACTTTTAATGTTTATATTTATTAAAAAAGTAAATATTTTTTTAATTTTTTAACATCAATATCTTTAAAAAATTTGTTATGAAAATAAATTATGTATATGTAAAATATTTTAGGGCCCCTATTCAACTAAAATTTATAAATATTTAACAATTTCTATATAAAAATATGTATATATAAAAAATATTGGGCCCCTTAATTAGTAAAATCGGGGGGACACGGATTTGGACCCGGGGCGGTCGCACCGTTTGTCCCCCCTTGTAAGCCGGCCCTGGCTCCAACCAAAAAAATGGCGATGATGAAGATTCCAAACGAATACGCAAAGATTGAGAAAGACGATCCTAATGAGATGATCCACAGGAGTGCTCAGTTTCTGATCCAAAAGATTTTCCAACGAGCCGACACAGATACATTAAGACATCAACGGAAGAGAACTCTTTTGATGAAAACGTCTTCGTTTAGAGTGGTAGGAATAAGAATGAAGATTGGAAAGAAGCTGAGGAAGCTAAGGAAGAGTTGTGTAAGGGCAAACAACCATGGTGATCTTATGCCACGGTTCCTTAAATCTCTTTGACGTTTTCTTATGCTCCTCTTCTCGAAACGTGTCTGATCTTTCTCCTCTATTCGCTATTCATGTTTAAGCATACTTTTTTTGTTAATGTAAAATAAATGAACTATACAAACTAGAACACACAGTAATTTAGGGATAAATTATTTTTAAGAAATTTGACTAGATTGATCTTTTTAAAATTACATACAATTTCTTTTTAAAAATAATCTTTTAACCAAACTAAGACAAACCTTGACTTGCTGACTAGCCTACACGTTCACAGACCTATGACAGTCTCTGAATCACTCAAACTCGTAACCCCTAGATGCTTTGCTTCTCCTTCTCCGGACGTACAAAACCTCTATTACAAAAAACACTCTCTGTGTGTTAGTCGGCAACACAATATCAAGAACCTCTTTTATTATCACAGAGGAAACCCTAAACCTAGAGTTCTTTCTAATGGAAACTTTTCATTTCTTTTACTTCAGCGAATAAGCCAATCTTTCTTTTCTCTTTAAATCGATTGCTTCTTCTTCGGATTTTTCCTTTTATCACTCTTCATTAAATCTTCCTTTTAATTACTTAGTCTTGTTACGTACTTCTCACGACTTCATCGACCCATGTCGTAGTTCGTGTCGCACTTCATGAACTACTTCTGATCTGCTACACTATCGCCTTAACCATACATCTTCAATCTCCCCCTTTTTAATTCGTCGTCTCACAAGTACCTGAGATGAGATAGAAGGACAAGAACACACAAACAAACAACTGCACATGCTGCACAAACTCTTAATACAATCAGACCAACCAAGAACCAAAAGCATACTTACATTATCTTAAAAACAAAGGGTTCAAGCATTAATACATCTTAACACAGATAGTACAGAAAAGCTCCCCCATAAACCGACATTGTCTGAAAAACAAGATAATTGCAACAAGTGGTGCAATTTAAAAACAACATGCTTAAAAAAAATGGTTGCTCCCCCACAAAGTTAGGTCCTTCTACCACTCATTCTTCAGTTTCTCCCTCTGCTTGTGAGCACACGGATTAAAAACACAAAACATTACAAAGCAATTAGAAAAGAAGATAAGTCTAACCTGGAACCAAGTTCTGAACCTCCTGAACAACCTCAGCCAAAGTCTGAAGGGCCCGAGTTGTGTCATGTAAGGCTGATTGCAGATCTGCCCTAGTGAGTGTACCATGAGGAACATCAATGGATCCTAGCGTGTAGATAGAAACTCGGCACGGTATGGTACTGGAACTCGGTGTAGGAGTTGGTGAAGCAGAAGAGGGCATATGAGATGAACGAGTAGACTTTCTCCCTTTCAATTCCTTCTTGGATTTTCCCTTAACCTTGCGCTGCTCATAGATCTTCCACACGTTTATCCTTCTTCTAGGAAACGGTACGGTCAATCTTATCACCAGTGTGAGACGGAACCTGGTGCTGCTTCTAGAGAAGTCCCATGATCAACGGTGGAAAGATCAGCCAGCCAGAGTCATTCTTCTGTATTACTCCCAGATTCATGATTTGCTTGAAAACCATCTTTCCCATATCAACTCGGATTCCATGAGCCATCTTGTAGATTAGTCTTGCTCTGTCAAGAGACACATGTGTCTTGTGTGTAGATGGAATCCAATTGTGAGCAGCAATGATCATGAGAGCTCCATAGAAAGGTGTCAAGTCAGCCGTAGTGAGGTTGTCCCACTCCCTTCTAGTCCCATCAGTGAGAAATTCTACTAACTCAGTAACAGATGCTTCATCCATTCTTGCTTCAACATCTTCGTCCTCCTCAGTGAGTGAGTCAAGTGCCAGAGTTTCATTGATCACTGTTGGAGAGAGCTTGTAAGGATGATTACGAACAGTGAAAACTACCTCTTCTATGTCAGTTTCCACCTTGGTGCTGGGTAAACCTGCATACAACTCAGCCACCACTTGCTCAACAAAAACACCAAGAGAAGACACAGTGGATTCCATTGAACCCTTCTGAATTACTGGTAGGTAGCCCCACTGATCATTCTCATTCATATCAACCAAACGCTCAGCAATTACCTTACGTTTCATGAACTGATCATACCTTTTCTTGATCCCAACAGGAATCAAGTCAGCACTCTGCTCAGAGACCCTCTTTGATTGAATCCGAGCTGACACAACTGATCCCTTAGGCAGAGATGGAGACTAAGTAACATCTTGAGTTGGTGCACTTGACTCCCTTGTCCTTTGTTTCTTCGAAGATCACAACCTCAGTCGCTTAAGGACCCGTTTATTCCTGACAGTCTTCTCGGTTGTGTCTTCAGATGTGGACCCTAAGGAGATGGCTTCTTGTCTTTGTCCCCTTCTTCTTTTTTCTGACCTGATTCAGACTCAGCTTCACTCAGATTCTTTTTCTCGGCCGAATCTGTCTCTTTGTTGAGAATCACAAGGGGAAGAGGTGACTCATCGTTTTTGTTCGGATTTGCATCCAAGGCCGGGTCATCATACAGAGTAACTTTCGAAGGATCCTTCAAAGAGGTCAAGTTTGCAGCTTCTGGCACATGCATTGTCTCACCAACTACCTTAGACGGATCTGTCTTGAGAATCGAGGTGCGCTGATGCTCATCACTTTCTTCTGACCGAGCCTTTTCCTGAGCAGTATTAAACGATTCAATTTTTTCAGTCATCTCTGGTAGATCTGAAGACGGTGGCAGATCATTTCTTGGTGGCGATGACTCAGGCTTGCCATCAAAGAGTTGCCTTCGACTTGATTCAGTCTCTACATGTTTCTCACTTGCTGTGGATTGACTTCCTGGAGCTTTATTCTGTGATTTTCCCATCTCAATAGTGGTTTCTTTGTTTGCTTTAGGATGATTAGCGAAGGAGGCAGAGTTTGAGAAACTTCTAATAGCACGAAGAGATTTTCTAGGGTTAGTGACCACTATTTCCCTTAACTGAAACAAGATTTGATGACTATTGCGTAATTGCACTTCTGGTCCCTATCCACAAAAGTAATTCCTTCGTTCACCTACAATTTAGATCTCTCTCATCCAAGCATACAACAAAAGGCACATTCATGAATTAATTTTGTATCATTAGACTCTATCAGAATAGTAACCCAACATCCATCACGACCCACAATTGGCTGACTTTTAATTTGAACAAATAAAATGAAGTGTTGGTTACCATTTAGCGATGTGCTGCAAGATATGAGTCAGCACTTGATTCAGGTTGCACATATAACTCTTATAGATTCTTTTGGTCTCGTGCACCCGACTGTGTTTTTATGGCTAACTTTCACATTGTGTTCCTTCATCAATCCTACAGGTTTTCAACATTTATTCATGTGCTGTGAAACCTCTTGTTGTTTCCCTTTTTTATTATTATTATCATTGAGCATCTTTCTGAAACATTGCTGCCTCTTTAAAGAGAGGAGGGGTGGCCACAAATTGACATAAAACCTGTACCATACAAGATTGACGGCACACCAAGCAGCTCTATTCCACAGTGTTCTCAGGTCACAAGCATAATCTGAATCAAATGTACATCCTGAACCTGTACCTGCACAAATCTCTGCACAACTTGACTTATAGGTCAAGATTACACACACCAATTGCATTTCTTAATGTGATGAAGTGATTAAAATCAAGAGATTTAGTGAATATATCAGCCAATTGTAAATCAGTGCCTACATGTTCGATTACTACCTGATTGTCTTCAACTAATTCTTTGATGAAGTGGTGCATGATGTCAATGTGCTTTGTTCTTGAATGTTGAACCGGATTTCTTGAGATATTTATTGCACTTTTGTTATCACAGTACACCAGAAAGAGACTAGATTGCATTCCATAATCAGCTGACATCTGTTTCATCCAGAGAAGTTGTGAGCAGCAGCTACCCATATCAATATATTCAGCTTCTGCCGTAGAAAGTGACACAAAGTTCTGTTTCTTGCTCTACCATGAGATAAGATTGTTTCTGAGAAAGAAATTTTCTCCACTTGTGCTTTTCCTATCATCAGCACATCCTGTCCAGTCAGCATCACAATATCCAACCAAGTTTTTGTTGGAATTTTTCGAGTAATACACTCCTAAATTCTCGGTTCCCTTGACATACTTGATGATGCGCTTAACTGCATTTAAGTGTGATACTTTAGGCTTGGCTTGATACCTGGAACACACCCCAATACTGAAAGATAGATCTGGCTGGCTAGCAGTTAGATACATCATACTTCCGATCATCCCTCAGTAAAGCTTCCCATCAACATCTTCTCCAGCTTCATCTCGAGCAAGCTTTAATGATGTACTCATTGGTGTTTTAGAAACTTTTTTGTTTTCAAGACCAAATCGCTTCACCAAGATGTGTGCATAAGCACTTTGAGATATGAATAGCCCCTTACTTGTTTGAGTGACTTGAAGCCCAAGAAAGTACTTCAACTCCCCACACATGCTCATCTCAAACTGTTGAGTCATATTCTTAACAAATTCATCAACCATCTTCTGAGATGTTCCTCCAAAGATAATATCATCCACATATATTTGGACAATAATAATATTCTTGTCAGACTCCATGAAAAACAGTGTCTTGCCAACACTCCCTCTAGAGGTATTCAACATCCACTAAAAAGTTAGTGAGTTGTTCATACCATGCACGAGATTCCTGCTTTAGTCCATATAGTGTCTTCTTCAGACGGTAAACATAGTCTTGATGTACTGAATCTTCAAAACCTTTTGGTTGCTCAACATAGACGTCTTCCTGAAGAGAACTGTTTAAGAATGCACTTTTTACATCCATCTGGTAGACTTTGAAATTCAAAATGCATGCCATCCCTAAGAAAAACCTTATGAACTCCAATCTTGCAACCGGAGAAAAGGTTTCTTTAAAATCAACTCCCTCAATCTGTGAGTACCCTTGACCCACCAGTCTTGCTTGTTACGAACACTTCTCCATTCTCATCAATCTTGTTCTTGAAGATCTATTTTGTACCAACTACATTTACCCCATCTGAGCGTGCTATCAGCTCCCACACATCATTTCTGGTAAACTGCTCGA